GCTGCTCCCAGCGGCACCCCCCCTGCCGGTCGGCCTCCTCGGTCAGCGTCCTTCCCCCGTGGGGCAGCCCAGACTTTAACACGGAGAAGGTGACTCTGCCGAGAAACCATAACATGGCCCAGCCTGACTGGTGGAAAGCCGCTGGGTATTATTTCTGGGCGTCTGTTGTTCTGTAAATACTCCACCTTTGGGGCTCTATCTCCGGCCCCGTCCATGGCAGACATCACTAATCTATCGCTGCACACGCTGCAGATTCCTTCCCCACAGAACCCTGTTCCAGGCAGCAGCTGGGGACCACTTAGAACTGGGACTTGACACTTCGCCACTTGAAACCCACTCACTCTGCCGCCATTTAGAAAAACCCAACAAACCTTTTTAGGGGACATAATGGCCTCCTTACTTTTTTATGGGTATTTTTTAAAAGATATTTTTATTGATTTCAGAGAGGAACGGAGAGGGAGAGAGAGAGATAGAAACATCAGTGATGAGAGAGAATCATTGATCGGCTGCTTTCTGCATGACCCCCATTGGGGATCGAGCCCACAACCCGGGCGTGTGCCCTTGACCGGAATCCAGCCTGGGATCCTTCAGTCTGCAGGCCGATGCTCTATCTACTGAGCCAAACTGGCTTAGGTCGGCACCCACTTTTTAAGTTGAATTCAGCTCAACTCCGTTGAACTTCAGCCCAACCCAACACACCTACTGCAGGGCAGCCCTTGGAGATGCAGAAACAACTATAATAATGAACTCTTATTATGATCGTGGCAGTCAACATTTACTAGGTATTTCCTCTGAGCTAGGCTCTTTGTACATTTCATTTCATCTCATATCCACAGTATCTCTGTGAAGTAGGAATAGTAATATTTCCCATTTTACAGATGAGGACATTGAGGCTCAGAGAGGTAGAATGACCTTTCCAAGGTCACATGGTGGTAAGTGGCTGAGTCAGGATTGACAACTGCTTTTAATCCACTAGAATATTCAGCTTCTACTACCTTACCACCTCTAGTGATAAAAGGAAATAGAACACCCCCCCCCCGCCCCCAAATTCTAGACCAAGGAAGTGAGTGGTCAGTGACATGAAAGTGGAACAGAATGTCCTCAATTCTCATAAGGATGGGAGGGTCAGAAAGACTCTTCATAGAGGAGGTGGAATTTGCATTGACCTCAGGGATGGGTGGGATTTTAACTGGCAGAGCTGGGGCACTCCAGGCAGAGTGTACAGCCTGAGCAAAGGCGTGGAGGCGGGAGAAATGGCACTGGGGGTGGGGATGGGGGTTGGAGAGAGAGGCAGGTGAACTTTAGGGGGCTAGCAGGGGGTGGGAGGGGGCTGGCGTGTTCCGGCAGGGGGCTCAGTCCTTCTTGGGCTGAGCAGGTGAGGCTGTAGGGAGAGCCCAGCGACAGGGAGACCAATTTGTTTCCTTTTTTACATTAAAAATGTATTTAATGATCTTTTGTTAAAATATCAAATATTTAGTGTGTCCAGATTCCCAATGGACTCATCAACGTCACAGATGGTTTGCTTCACTGCTCGTCCTGACAGTGTGTTTGAATCAGGACCCGTAGATGGTCACAAAATGCGATGGGCTGATTGGTCCTTTAATCTCTGTTATTTGTTCAGGAAACTGGGACAGTTGTGCGAAGTTTCCCACAGTCTGGATTCTGTGGTGTCATTTAACACCTTTGTCCCCTGTGGTTCTTGTAAACTGGACGTTGGCTTTAAGGCTCGATCAGATTCAGGTTCAGGGGTTTTTTTTTGTTTGTTTCTTTGGGTTTTTTTATAAGACTTCTTCGTAAGTGCTGGGCGCTCTTTCATCAGGAGGCCCCAAATGCCTGGGCGTCGCTGTGCACCGGCAGCCTCAGATGCTCAGTGCCAAGCCCAGGCATTCATCAGGGCTGCAAGATTGTGATCATCTCCGGTCACTCCTTCCTGTCTCAGCTGGGATTCTTCCGTAATGAGTCACCTCCTCTCCTTGCGTTAGATACCCAGTGGTACCGTTCATTCAGGAAACGAGAGGATTTAACCCATTTGATGTATTTAAAGTATGCTCTATTTTTAATTAGCATTTAAAATTTTACTTTTTAAAAATTTGGTTTTAGAGAGAGGAAGGGAAA